AATCCTTGCTTACAGCTACTCACATACTTAACAGACTTCCCAATTCAGCTATTAACTGGAAAACACCTTTTGAAATTCTTTATGAAAAGGCTCCAGATTATACCTCCTTGAAACCTTTTGGTTGTTTGGTCTTTGCAGCAAATGTTGATCCTCATAAAACTAAGTTTACCACCAGGTCACATAAATGTGTTTTTCTTGGGTTTGAAGTAGGAAGAAAGGGGTATAAGCTGTACAATATGGACACAGGGAAAATTATCATTAGCAGAGATGTCAAATTTTTGGAAACTGTGTTCCCTTACCATGATATTCAGGAAATTCCTCATTCCACTCCATTGCCAAATATTCCACTCACTGATGATCTTGATGAGTTACCAGTTTCTACCACATCAACACCAGCTGAACCCATTCCTACTCCTTCAACCTCACAACATCTTTCCACTAGACCATCTAGACACAGAACAAAACCACTTTGGCTTAATGACTACATTACATCCAATTCCATTTCAATTTTTCCTTCTGCTGCCATGGATCAATCCAACAAGGCAACCATTTCAGGTACTACTGACCCTCATACACTTGTTCTTGCTGATACTTTTTCTTATACATCCAATTATCTTGAGTTCTTGCACAATGTATCCACTATACAAGAACCAAATTCATTTCATCAGGCAAAGATACATGCAGAATGGGTTGAGGCTATGCAGCAGGAACTTGATGCACTAGAAAGGAATGGTACATGGGATTTGGTTAAGTTACCAGTTGGTAAGAAGCCTATAGGAAATAAGTGGGTTTACAAAGTTAAAAGGAAACCTGATGGGACTGTAGACAGATGCAAAGCCAGGCTTGTAGCCAAGGGCTACAATCAGGTATATGGCATAGACTATATGGACAGCTTTTCTCCAGTAGCAAAGCAAGTCACTGTGAGATTGTTTTTGGCTGTTAGTGCAGCAAGAGGATGGCCATTGTGTCAAGTGGACATAAACAATGCCTTCTTACATGGGCATTTAAAGGAGGAAATTTATATGACCTGTCCACAGGGTTATAACAAGCAGAAAGATGGAGAGGTTTGTAGGCTCAAAAAGAGTTTATATGGGCTTAAGCAGGCTTCAAGGGAATGGAATCATGAATTTTCTGACAAACTGCTCACTTATGGCTTTATTCAGTCACAAAATGATCACTGCTTGTTCACTAAGTCCAGTGGAGATACCTTTTTGGCACTTCTGGTTTATGTGGATGATGTCCTCATCATGGGACCAAGTTTAGAATTGATAGACAGCCTTAAGAGTTATCTAGATAAAGAATTCACCATTAAGGATTTGGGATTTGCTAGATTTTTCTTGGGAATAGAGATAGCCAGGGGAGAAAATGGTACTTATCTAAATCAGAGGAAGTATATTGTGGATTTACTACATGACATGAAGCTTGAGCATAGTAGGACAGCAATTACTCCTTTCCCACATGGGTTGGTGTTGAAGAGGAAAAATGGAACACCTTTAGATAATGCAGAAGTTTACAGGAGACTTGTGGGGAGATTGTTGTATCTGAATCTTACAAGACCAGATATCTCATTTGCAGTACAACAGTTAAGCCAGTTTGTAAATGATCCTCACTCTACTCACTGGGATGCAGCTATGCATGTACTGAGGTACTTAAAAGGAACAACTACATTGGGCCTTTTCTACTCAGCTTCCTGTAACTTCCATATTTCAGCTTACTGTGATGCTGATTGGGGAGCTTGTGTTGACACAAGGAGATCTCTAACAGGGTTCTGTATATTTCTTGGTTCTTCTCTTATCTCATGGAAGAGTAAAAAGCAAGTTACAGTGTCTAAATCCTCAGCAGAATCAGAGTATAGAGCACTTAGTTCTACTGCTTGTGAATTGCAATGGTTGGCCTACATTGCTAATGATTTGCAGCTTCCTATACAGCTACCTATTCCTTTGTTTTGTGATAACCAGTCAGCTCTTCACATAGTTCAAAATCCAATTTTCCATGAGCGCACGAAGCACTTGGAGATTGATTGCCACTTGGTGAGGAACAAGTACAAGGATGGTCTACTTTCTCCCTGTTATGTTCCTTCTACTCAGCAGATTGCAGACGGTTTCACCAAAGCTCTTGGTGGTCATCCTTTTCGTACTATGGTTGTCAAGTTGGGCATGACAAGTTCTCTTTGCCAGCCCACTTGAGGGGGGTGTGTTGAGATTGTAATAGTTATAGTTTTTTCTACTTCCCTGTTTTCTTTCATATGATATAGGTTAGTAGTTAGTTAATTGTGGCTTAAAAGCGTTTTAGCGTGTTTACGTTTTTTCTCATTTTTCCTTCTTATAAATACCTTGTATTTGACCGTTGAGTGTTGAATAATGAAAAATATCAGAAAATGGATTTTTTTTCCCAACAATATCTTCATCTTCTACAATTTTGATCTCGCATTACCAATTTTCTTGAGTTTGCTTTTGTTCATTATGTAATGGCTTCACATAGATCACTCAGCAGTCTTGATCTTTTTCCCCCTTTTCGTTTAACTATCATTCAGTTACTATTTGAATAGACTGTGTCATTCTCAAGCAATTGCGTAGATCTGAGTATCGTATAATTGGGATCTGAATAGATTTTTAAAGTGATTGATATAAACAAGAAGGCCTTTTTCTTTACTTGTCAGGTACATTGGGAGTACCTTTTTTTCTGATTGCAAATGTTCGATGCATCTTACGATGTCGTTTTACCGCAATCGTTTCCGATGTTTGATTCCTTGAGGATTAAGTTAGATTAGTCTGTGCTCTGTCTTTACCAAAACCTGATAATCGAAGCCAGTCTCTGTAATCTGAGAATTAAGTTAGATTGGTTGTATTGTATCCATTTTGCGTTTGAAGTTCTGACATTTTCTGTAGGTTTGTAAACAGAAATTATATGTTGGATTTGTCACTGCACTGCATTTTGTCATCTGATGTTGTGTTTGTACTAATCCATGAATCATTAAGGTCTACTCTATGTTAATTCACGACGCCACTTTTGGTTGTAACATTAGTAGTCTCTGGTAATTTTTTCAGTTGTAATTGACGAAAGTTGCCTTTTTAAAGTTTGTTAACTTTCTTCGTTCTTGATTTGCACCAAACAAATTTAGTTCTAATCCTCTGCTTTTCCCCTTCACTCCAAACTCTACGACATTCAGAAACAGACAAAAATGGCATCTTCCGACAGCCCCAAGATAGTCGAGAGGGATGTCAAGGATCGGGACAACAAAGAGGACAAAAAAGACGAAGAGAGAGGTGGATTTATCGACAAGGTCAAGGACTTTATCCACGACATTGGCGAGAAAATTGAGGAGACCATCGGGTTCGGTAAGCCAACGGCCGATGTCACCGCCATTCACATACCTCACATCAACCTCCAGAAGGCAGACATTATTGTGGATGTCCTCGTCAAAAACCCTAATCCCATCCCAATCCCTCTCATAGACATTGACTACTTGATTGAGAGTGATGGCCGGAAGCTCGTCTCCGGTTTAATTCCTGATGCTGGCACGATCCACGCCCATGGCTCGGAAACTGTGAAGATTCCCGTTTCCTTGATTTACGATGACATCAAGAACACGTATGATGACATAAAGCCCGGGAGCATTATCCCGTACAGGGTCAAAGTTGACCTGATTGTGGATGTCCCGGTTTTTGGCCGGCTCACCTTGCCGCTCGAGAAGACGGGCGAGATCCCGATACCTTACAAGCCCGATATCGATGTCGAGAAGATACATTTCGAGAAGTTCTCGTTCGAGGAGACTGTGGCCACTCTTCATCTGAGGCTGGATAACAAGAACGATTTCGATCTGGGATTGAATGACCTCGACTATGAGGTGTGGCTATGTGACGTCAGCATAGGTGGGGCCGACCTAAAGAAGTCGGCTAAGATTGAGAAGAATGGGGTTAGTTATATTGATGTGCCGATCACGTTTAGGCCCAAGGACTGTGGTTCGGCACTTTGGGACATGATTAGAGGGAGGGGGACGGGTTACTCTATGAAGGGGAATATTCATGTGGACACACCTTTTGGGGAGATGAAACTGCCGATTTCTAAGGAAGGGGGAAAAACCGTGCTTAAGAAGAAGAAGGAAGATGGAGGGGATGATGATGATGATGATGAGGTATGTTGATGATTATTCGTTTCGATCCCATTTAGTTGTGATGCTTATGTCTATCAATATCTAAACTCTAATCGTCTCTTGGAGATAAATTTAAACCACCTTCTTACACATGTACATGAAAAATGATTCATGTAGTTTATTTGATATTAATTTGACATGTTTCGTGCTGAATGTTGCGTCTCTTCTGCAGGAATGAGAACCTGTTTGTGGCGGGACACGATTCTCTTAATGCCCAGTAATAGGGACTATTGATCTTATTTTAAAATTTGAACTGTATGACGTTTGTCATGTTTAAGAATGTCACCTTTGAGACTGTATACATTGCTATGTTACTGCACTTTCTCTGAATGCTTTTGGCTGCTTGCTTGATCGAGCAATACGCCGGTTGGATTATGTTTGTCGTTTAAGTAAGCCTGAACTGTTTCTGCTAATATAATTGGACGTTGTGAATCTGGATGTGTCAGGACGATGAATGGTAGAATTTCTGTTTCTTATGTTGTCCTTTACCCTTCATTGGTCTGCAACTAGACATGGCCATCGGCTGCAGTTCGAAACGAAGGGACTCGGTTCCCTTGAAACAGAACAAGACAAAGGTTCCGATTCCAGTTTCAGTTTGAACCTTTTTCTTTTTTTAATGATAGATAGTTAAAATAATATGATGTTGTTAAGAAATTGTTTCGTGCTGATTCAAATACTAGAAGTTAAATGGTGATATTTTAGGTTGAAATATATGAAAGTTATCAAAGTTATCGTAGCTCATTTTACATAAATATTATTTTTATCTTTTGAAAAAATATATATTAAAATGTGCCACTTTCAATCTTCTAACTAATTATTGAAGAGTTGATGATAGGACGACTACTAACCAACCGTTTTTGCAATTATTACATGACCGAGGAACAATATTATGATTGTATTATTGTAAATAAAATATATAAATAACATTAATCATAAAATATATAAATAACATTAATCATGATTTACTTATTATTTTTAAAATTAGATTGGACTGAACAGATCGACTGTATGGACCGGATCCCGTTTAACGACCAACTCGGCTTGATTGAATAAAATATTTGCAATAGAATCGGCCAACAAAGATCCGTCATACTGGTAATATCATTACATTTTAAAATAACTTTTATTACATTTAAAACTATTTTTAATATAAATAAAAATACATATTAAAAATGAATATTTATAAATTATTTATGATTCAGTTTAAACATTGAATAAGTTTAAATTGTTAATATAGTTGTTAATAAAATTATTTAAAAAATACTATATATATATATATATTTAAATATTAATAATTTAAATTATTAAATATTAATAATTTAAATTCTGATACATATAATAAATCATTGAATAAATAACTTGATCGGTTTAAAAAGGTCCTCTCCTGAGAACTTTGGATTTACCGTACATTAATAAAATTGTAATGCAATATCATTTTGTTCACATAAATATTAATAAAATAATATATAAGTGTGCATAAATCCTTGAACATGTTGTCATAAAAGCATTCTTATTATGATTCTTTTGGAGTATGAACTACATTACATTTATTTTAATAAAGTATTTTAACATTAAAAATATTTAGTTCAATAATCGATTTGGTCTGGTAAAACTGACACATAATTTAGTCACTCAGGAATCAGGATCAACCTCAGTTGTGTCATTGACCATAACACGGGAGATAAACATCAATTGTGTCATGTATTTGGACTTTTAAATATAACCTAATAATGAGCACCTAATCCAATCACTCGATTGATCAAATGAAATTTTCTTATTTTCCTTAAATATATGTAACTTTATGAAATAAAAAATATTTTATGATTCGTGTAGTAAATGTTTATAACAAATGAAAATATATTAAGATTATAAATTATATATTTAAAGATAAGTTACTTATTTCTTACTTTATGCATATTTATAAAAAAATAAACATCTTTTAAATTTTGAATTAATCAATTGATTTTGCGATTATCGCGATAGCTCAATACCAATATGAGTTACTACATAACAAAGATATTTTGCATATCAATAATAATGTTTTTAAATAATATGTATAAGTACTATATAAATAAATTAATTGTGAAAAATTAGTACATCATATAAACAATGACTGTAAATAAGCACTGGGATACAGTGCACTGAAAAATTAGTATTTATCAGCGCACTCAGATACAGTGACTGTAAATAAGCACATCATATAAACACTTTCACTTACCAAAATACCAAGTATGTCATCCTAACAGAATAGGAATCACTCTTGGTAAATCAAATAAATAAGTAATGCATATATATGCATGTTTTATATTATCTTACCGCTTAAGAGTTGCTCAAATCTGGATTTAGAGATGGCCACGGGCCGGACCCGCGAACCGGTGCGGATCGGCCCAGCCCGGCACCGGCCCGAAATGGCTCGGTCCTTTGAACCGGACCGGGGCCATCCGGTTTGGTCACGGTTCAAGTT